ATGATGAGGGCAATGAATGTACAAATGTGCTTTACACAATGATGTATGTATGGATTGTGATGAGTTGTATGAGTTCCTAATAAAATGATTTAACAAAAAAAAACATCAGTTGCCAAAGCTAGCGGTTATAAATGAAAACCACAGGTGTCCTTCCCATCCCCCCCCAATCTTCTTCATAGTAAGTTATTCTTCCTCTTCTTTTGTTGTCTTTATTATAATTTATAATTACAGGTATGCATCCCTGAATGTCTGCCTGGGTCAGGTCCAACCACATACATGGTCTGGTTTTATAAGGTTTTTGTTTTGCTTTGGCTTTGAATGGAAAAGTAGGTTCCTTTTGTTTATTATTTCTCCCCACTGGTTTTGACGACCCCCAAACTCAGACTCTTGAAGTACTGCACTACAAGGGGGATAGAGGTAGGTGGGGCAGAGGACATGGCTCTGGATCATGAGCTCTTGGCTTTTGTCCAGCTGCCAGGAGGCAGCTGCTCTTGTTGCTCAAGTGGGTATAACTCCAGGGAGGGCTGGTGCACTCCGCTCTATCCCCACCCTCTCAGCTGCCACCTCTACCTGGGTCTGCTCCTCCAGGCTCTGCCGGTAGCTCCAGCAGTACTGATAGCAGCAGCAGTGGCAGTAGTGGTGACAAGGACAACTAGAACTGGGCTACCACAGGTTTTAATGTGGGGGTGAACAAAGGCCAACTCACCTACTACCCTATTTCAAAGAATGTATCATGGAGGTTAAGCTGCATATACCTGTATTCATGTTTGTGTACATATTTACTACCTCTCTGTCTATCCAACACTATATTATATATTTGTTTGACTGACAAATCTTGGGCACTCATTCAATGAATGAATAATTTGCTTCAGGGTTACTGTGAGTCAGCATGGACTTGAAGGCAGCGAGTCTGGTTTGGTTTTAGTTATTTACATCACTCTTAACACAAGCATAGTTGTTTTTAACAGGTGCTACCTAGGTGTACTGGGAAATGTTAACTGTGCAAACGCTAGGATGCTAATAGTGAGGGATTTCACTAAAACTGTAGAACACTTGCCTCTGCAGTGACTCAAAGAACTGTCCCAGAGGAAACACCTACAGACGGCTTTCAGAAGTCTATAAAAACTGGAATACTTTGTCGGCAATAAAAGAGGAAGAGAGTGGAGATTTATCTTTCTTCCACTTCCTTTTATGCTATTTGTCCTTCCTACCTTCTTCTAATACAGGTGTCATCAAACTACGGCCTGCGGGCCACAGGCAGCCCACCGAGGACATTTATCCAGCCCGCCAGGTGTTTTTGCCCCTTTTGTTTTTTTACTTCAAAATGAGGTATGTGCAGTGTGCAAAGGAATTTGTTCATAGTTTTTTTTTTAAACTATAGTCCGGCCCTCCAATGGGTCTGAGGGACAGTGAACTGGTCCCTTGTTTAAAAAGTCTGAGGACCCCCGATAGAAGATAGAAAAACACAGGCTGCATTAGATTGGGCTAGGAGTGCTAACTTGGTATTTATACTTCTAAGGCTCTTTGATGGCATAATACATTGAGCGTTAGATGTTAACAGAAGGTTGGGTGGTTCAAACCCTTCATCTGCTCTGTGGGAGACGTATGAGGCTATTGGCTCTTGTCATGGTTTAGTCTTAGAAACTAATGGAGCAGTTCTATTCTGTCCTATATGGTCACTATGAGTCAAAACTGGCTTGGTAATGGCAGTGGGTTGGATTTTCTTTTTCTTTTTTGGTTATTTGTAATAGGGAGCTTCAAAGAGTTCATGGAAAAATTCCTTCATCTTTTAATTTCACTTTTCCATGAACTTTTTGAAGGCCCGTCATATTTCAGTTCAAGCACAGACAAGCTAATGGAATCATACAGAATTCTGTCTTATTGCTACCAGAAAGCCAAGTTCGTCTTTGTATCTTCACTTCCCATTACAAATAATCTCCCTGCCTTACACTTCCCCTGCCACACACGCTAAAGGCTCAGTACTTTCAAGGGTGCTGCTGGCTATTTAACTTTGGTCACCTCACTCTTCTTTTCTCCTTCAATAAAAGCTTCCACTTCTATAAAGCACTCATTCTTTTACTATATAAGTTAATATGTTGTGATTGAATCTCCACTAAAATATGAGTAATTAAGAGGCATAAGTCTTGACAGGGCAGCACAGGGGGAAGGAAATGGTTAAAATGAATCACTAGCAGGGAGAAGAGATCGCGCTATTCTGATTGCTTGCACAGGGAAAGAGATTTTGTTTTAAGTCGAGTATTTTCTTTTCTAACATCAGGAAACAATAGAAGAAACTATGTAGAATTAGCATTGTCATTATTTATGAACCCAGCACAATACACCATCTTGCCAGATCAGCCAGAGGTCTGCTCAGAATTATGGACCCCTAAGAGAAATTCCTGCACTGTTTCTGCCATTAACCCAGATTGATGACTTGCATCACTGAAGGGAAAATCTTGTTCTATATTTCAATACAGACAACTCTGTTTATAACAATCTGAACTACAGTTAGTTGTTTAACATGGCTGTTCTAGCTAGAAGCCTTCATTTTGTGATATATTGTAAATCCTAGCCTCGAAACCTGTAGTCACAACACCTTTTGGAGTGAATTATCTTATGCTAATGAGGTACGATTAAGGTGCAACACAGTTAAAAATCCCCGTGTTACTAGGTCGGGAGTGTGACTTAAGTTACCACTCAGTTTCTTTGGGGTATGGTCTGCTTCTCTGATATCTATGCTAAAACAAGAACTTCCCATTTTAAGCTGTTCCTTTAATAAAGCAAACCACCAGCTGCCTGCCTAATTGAGAAAAGCTGGGGTCACAGAACTGGGTGAGACTAGACCAGGCCCACCTAAGAAGAGAGGTGGTCAGCGTGTCCTCTACCTAACCTTTTGATGTCAGAAGGCCAAAACCACCACCTCTTATCAAAGCCCCAGAAGTAGGCAGGTGACACCTCTCTACTCAACTTAGTATGCACGGAGAAATGATACCCTGCACTGGGGGTCCAGTAAACCACTGGAACAACTCAGAGTTCAATGGAGACACCATGCCTGTGCTAATAGCTTTAAAAGGACAACCACAACAAAAAGGCCACACAAGAAATCTGAGTGGGGCGGGGGAGTTCCAGTGTGGACCATCCACATTCCAAAGTGACACCAGGAGCAGAGGTTACCATTATCAACCAGGAAGCTCCACCTGAACCTCTGAACTCAGGGTTCTTCTCTGGCCTTGTGGTCTGTGACACTTGGTCTGAATTGGGCTCTGAGGGGAGCCTCTGTCCTAGGAGCTCTCAGGAATTAAGGCCAAAACTCCAATGCAAGTGACTCCATACTTTGAATAGTCATTTTACATGTGGAGCTTTTCACATTGTCAAATGGAGCTTTGATCAATAGACAGTAATTGAAATGAAGGCAAAAGTAAACGCTCAGCACAGAGTTAAACCCCTGTAGTTGTGTTTGGTTCTATAAACTGAAGGTATACTCTTTTGGGGATGACATCTTTGGGATGAAGGGTGCATCACTTGAGTATTAATAGCACCAACAAGTTTTGTATGTGTTAATCATTTACTGACTAGACTGAGAGTACCCTGAAAAGTGTTTCTAAATAAGCCCTACCCACCTAGTTTCATTTGCTTTGACTCAAATAGGATATTGCTAAAAAAAGTTCAGTTAATCAAGGATTTAATTCATTGTGGCTTTACAGTAAATTATAATAAACCAAGCGAAAACCCCAATTACCTACCTAAGCGATGAAATCCAAAGGTGAATCTTTTGGTAGGTGATTTTGAAGAGAGCCACAAAGCAAGCAGGGTCAGTATGATGGCGCTGAGGTCAGTTAACATGTGAAGTGCATCTGTCATGATTGCTAGGCTGTTTGCAATGTAGCCACCTTAGAGGAATTGGGGGGCAATGGAAGAGGAAGACGTTAATTAAGATAATAGGCATAAGCAATCAAACCCCAAAGACTTATTTTCAAAAACATTAATTTCTAGCCAAATCTTTGTCCCATTACAATTTAAGAAGATATCCTGAAATTTGATGTACAACATTAGATGTTTATATTTTTTCCCTGGTGAGAAGTCCATTTCTGTTAGCATTCTCCAAGGAGTCTTTCTAACTGGCTCACTCGTTTGATGACTTACTGAAAATCTACATAGCCATCCCAGATACACTGAATCAGAATCAATAGTTTAAATAAGATCCTTAGGTGATTTTTATAGAACCCCACAATTTTTATGTATGCACCTTGTTAAAATGTAGCTTGACTCTGTATGTCTGGAATGAGAATGCAAAATTTCAGCAGGAGGTCGAATGGTTTTGGAATAAAGCCACGAAGCAAACAAAGAAATTTTGTTTTAGCACTGCAACTTTTGCTAACCCACTAATCCTTCTGGAATTTGTAATTACAATATCCAAATACCACAATACACCTGAGAAAAAGGTAGCTGCTCACTTTCTCAGGAGAGTTTAAGCATACAATTAAAGTGAATAAACTACTTACAAAATGTGCCTTAGGTCAACACCAAAGATTAAAGCCACTGATTCACTTAGCTAAGACACAAATGACTCATGATAAGAGGGTCAAAAAGTGGTATTTAGACTACAAGGTGTTTTGTTTGGGTTTTGCACTGATTTTCAAGGCATCAGCTATACAGTGAACCCTCGCCACTTCGCGCTTCGACTTCCGCTGCTTCACTCTATCGCGGTTTTTGTGTAACACCACATGCTCTGTCATTACTGCCACTGATTGGCTCATACTGTACATGCTTGATGCCATAAATAATATAATAAATAATAAATGATAATTGTAACGTCCAAAATGTTTTACTGTATTTTCCCTTTTTCGTTTAATAAATTGGGTAATACGAGTGTAATGGTGACTAAAGGGTGTTTTTTCATGTCCTCTATGCTCTAACTACGAAAATATTTGATTTACAAATAAGGAATCCTACTTCGCGGAATTTCATTTATCACGGTAGGGTCTAGAACCGATTAACCGCGATAAATGAGGGTTCACTGTAATATATTCCTAGGAGCCCTGATAGCCCTGAACCACTCAAGATGGGTGGTTCACACCCACCAGCCCTGAGCGTGTAGCGGTTATGACTGGGCTGCAATCTGGCTGGTGGGCACTTCCAAACCACCAGCGGCTCTTCAGGAGAGACTGCTACAATCACAAAAACCTGCAGGGACTGGCTCTGAGCCAGCTTTGCCGGGACGACAGTGAGCGGGCCGTTCTGTGAGAGAAAGATGAGGTTATCTGCTCTGTAAAGATCTAAAGCCTGGAAACCCGATAGTGTAAGCCAGAATGGATTCGATGGCAGTGGGATCTATGTGTTCTTAATATAAACTCATACACTACTTCTTTTTATTAAATCATTTTATTAGGGGCTCATACAACTCTTATCACAATCCATACATACATCAATTGTGTAAAGCACATTTGTACATTCATTGCCCTCATCATTCTCAAAACATTTGCTCTGCACTTAAGCCCCTGGCATCAACTCCTCATTTCCCCCCCTCCCTCCCCCCCTCATGAACCCTTGATAATTTATAAATTATTTTGTCATATCTTGCACTGTCCGACATCTCCCTTCACCCACTTTTCTGTTGTCTGTCCCCCAGGAAGAGGGTTACTGTATATGTAGATCCTTCTGGCTAGCAAGGCAGCACTTAACCATTTGCACCACCCAGGAAGTCTTCCTATATACTAAGCTCCCCACCAGTGATTCAAACTCAGTAGGTCTGGACTACAACTCAGAAAAAAAGCACATTGTAAGGAAGCACCCCAGGTGCCGTATACACTCATGTATAACTGAGTTTTTTAGCACATTTTTAATGCAGTTTTTGTGGTAAAATCAGGTGCCTTGGCTGGTATTCGGGTCGGCTTATACTCGAGCATATACATGAATAGTGTAGCCAAACACCTTTGTGAGGTGCTCTTATAAGGTGCATTTCTGAAATCTCAGAGAGCTCCTCCTGCTCCTGCGGGGGAGCTTATGTGAGGGGTCAGCTGTGTGAGTCAAGCTCAAAGGAAGAAAGCGGAATTAACACTGACTGAGTGCTTGCCTTATGCCCTTCATTCAAGATAGGCAAATATATACAATTCCTTTCTTAACATAAGGAACTGGAATATTTCCACTCTGACATTCTACTACCTTCCATCTTTTTCTTCAAACCCTCACCCTGCCCACACAAGTGCTTTAACTCATCACCTCTTACTGTTCACTATGAAAATAGAAGCTATTAGACTGGTGGTCTTATTTTTACTCAACAAACGCACAAACATATTCCGTGGCCCTGGCTCTAACAGTAGAGCTCCGAGTCCTCCCTCCTACTGAAGGCCCACAGACGCTCTCCTCCGTCATCTTGAGGACTTCTTCCTCAGTTGTCCTCTCGTCCAGGACCTTCATCCTCCCCCCTCTTCTGGATCACTTCTCAGCACCGGCTGTTCTAGCTCATTTAAAAAAAAATCTTGTCTTGTTTCCCTTCCAATAATTGCCCCCTCTCTTTGCTCTTCTCAATACATGTCTGAAAATTACCTACATACATCATCTCTTCTTCCTGATTTTGAAAACAATTTACTTATCAGAGTTACACAGACAGTACACAGTTGAATCAGCTTCGTCTGCAGGTTAAAAATAAGACCCCCCCAAAACAGCCCCTAGTTTCCCTCATCTCATTTCAGTTCCTACACAGACATCCTCGTTCAATGAATTTAGCTCATTTGTGACTAGCCTCCATATTTCTAGCGGTTTTTCACTGTTCCAGGCATTATACATGAACTTTGACTGGTTCTTTACTCAACCAGTCCTCACAAATCTCTTCTCGTAACTTGGTTGCAACTTTGATGAGATTAGTATTTGATATTTATATTATGACTGTACTCACATATGCTGTCATATGTGATTTATAGTAAACTATTATTATTCTTTCCTGAACATCTTTCGTGAGCCCCTGAAGTTAATAACTGTGTTTTTACTTGCACAGTTTTCTACATACTTATTAAGGAACCTGGGTTACAAGTTGTGGAGCTAACGGCAAAGTCAGCATTTGGAAACCACCAGCTGCTCCTCGGGACAAAGACGAGGTTTTCTACTCCCGTGTAGAGTTACAGTCTTGGAAACTCATGGGCTGACCCATGAGTCTGAATCAACTCAATGGCAGTGAGTTAGGGTTTTTTTGTTTTGGGATAATTCAAGCTTAAATTCCTCCACAACCTAAACCCACTGCCATCGAGTTGATCCCAACTCAAAGCCACCCTATATAGGGTTTCTGAGGATGTCAAGCTTTGCGGGAACAGACAGGCTCATCTTTCTCTGTACAGCAAATGGTGGGTTTGAACTGCCAATCTTAAAAAGTCTGAATCTCTTCTCAAGACATCCAGTCACATCCCCCGGGCTATTATTTTCATCATCTTCTAAAAGTTGGAATGACTGTGCTTTATGTTGATGCACACCTGTCATCTGGGATCTCCATCACAATCTTGTGGACTTTTCAGTACTTATTTTGTTCTTCCTGAATTTAATCCTTCTGGATGGAGATACCCACTTTATTGATGTACAATTTATATACAATAAAGCATACCCATTTAAGTGTATGTTTCTGAGTTTGAAAAGAAGTTTTAACAAATCCCCATGTAACCACCATTCCCATTAATGATATAGAACACTTCTGGTATCCTTTGTCCTTGCTACCAGCATGGATTTGATTTGTATCACTATAGATCTATTCTGCATGTTCTAGAACTTTATACCCATCACCTGTCTGCTAGTTTGTCATATTGTGGTGGCTGTGTGCTCCTGGAAGCTACGTCATTGTTATTTCAACTGCCAGCAGGGTCACCCAAAGTGAACAGGTTTCAGCAGAGCTTCCAGACTAAGAGCAGACTGAAGAATAGGGTTTGACTTTTTTGGCTTATATACTTTAAAGGCAGGGACTTCTCGGTCATAGTGTAGGTAGATGTTTAATTTAAATTAAGTTTGTAAGAAACCCCAAATTGTACTCCAACAGAGTTGTATCATTTCAGTTACACCAGTAATGCATGGTAACTCATTTGCTCCAAATTCTCATCAGTAAATACTATGTATTGTCAGTCATCTTAATTTTAGGCATTCTAATGGGGTTGAAGCTGTGTTTCAAGTACCCATTCTAGAAACTTCCTAAGAGGAAAATGCTTTTTGAATCATTACATGTCTGAAAAATATCTTTATTCTACCCTTCCACGTGATTGATTACTGGGCTAATATAGAAATCTAGATTAAAAATTTCTCAAATTTAAAGCATCGCCTCACTTGACGTCTAACTTTCAGCGTTGACTGTTGAGAAGTCCAAAGCCATTCGTCTCTCTCGTTCTGATTAGGGCCCACTTGTCTTTTTGAAAGCTTACAGAATATTTGCTACTACCTGTTCCTATCACTGATAATGATATACTATGGTGTGGATTTATTTTCACTCATTTTGGGGTATTTCATGAATGACACTGTTGATTTCTTTCACTGTTTTCTTTATTCCTCAAGCTTGTATTACTGAGTCCTTGATCTACAAGACTGATACAAGTTTCTTTTTTCTTTTTCTATCCTATTATGAGGGTTGGGGGGTTGAGTCTACCCAGAGGTGCTTCAGGCCTAACAATACTTATGAAAAAAATAAAAACAGCCATCAAAAAAACCCTATAGAGTTCTACTCTGCTGCCTATTGGGTCACCATGATTTGAAATCACCTTGATGAAAACTAGCATAATTCGTTTTTATTATTCAAAAGTTCTTTTGTTTACGCTGTATTGCTTTTTTAGCTTGTCCTTATTTCATGCATGCATGATCTTTGAAGACAGCAACCGTCATATTTTTATTTTTTCCCCTTTATAGTCTTATGTAAGTTCCCGCC